TGACGTGCAGCTCCGGTGACGTTCCGAGTGCCAGTGGGGTGGCGTCAGGTTAACCACCTGGCGTCAGGTCACGTTCAAGAACGCCAGGCCCATTGCTTGTGGAGGTGGCGTCGGGTTAGGTGCCCCAGCGTCAGGTTTGAGGGGGGGTGTTGTATCAGGGGTCTCCCTGGGGCTTCTCAGGGACCTCTCAGGGGCCGATTGAGGCCTCTTCGGTGTTCCTTGGGTTGTCTTGGACCATCTTGGGCAACCTTGGGGTCACCATATGGCCTCTTGGGGCTCTCGTGGGGCCGTCTTGGTCCAACTGACTCCCGTTGTTGGGCTGCTCTTGGGCCCCCTGGGAGCTCTCTTGGAGCGATCTTGGAACCCTCTAGAGGGCGTTCAGGACCAGCTCAGGGCTCTTTGTGGCCCTCTTTGCGACCACCTCCGTGCCCGAGAAGCCCATTGAAGCCCGCATGAGCAGAATGCCACCACAATCGGGAAGCGCGTACATGTCCAGCGAACGTGATCTTCTTGGGGGCATCCGATCAAAGGTAATTCGGCCATCTTGGGCCGTCTGTGTAGTCCACTGTCCATTGGGCTGTCGTGTACCATGACGGGCCAGCTCGGCGCCACATTGGCCCCACCTCGGAGCCATCCCAATGCCACTCTAGGGGCGAGCACGGAGCCTCACACGCTTCGGCCCGCTCTTTGGGGCGCTCCTGGCAGCTCTCGGGGGGCTCTCACCCCGACTTGGGGCCCAGCGAGGTCCGCAGACAACGCCAATCGCACATACCCAGCAATCAGAGTCATCACCCGCTGTTGAGGGGGGGGGTATTTGGTGTCTTGCGCATTTGCCACTGAGATGTCGCGTCGCAGTATGTGCTGCCATACTGGATGTTGGCGTTTGCGGCTGCCCTGGGAGCGCGCGGTGCACTTTCTCTGGCAGCTAGGGCTCGACGAGAATACGTCGGCACCGGTGCCCAAATTCGATGCACGCTTCCCGATTCACAGCTCGAATTGCATATCTACAGACGGTACTCCCGCGGAAGGAGTTTCTACCTTCGCACAGGGGGGCTGCTACTTGGAGCCGTTGACAAGGGGGCCGCACATGCCAGTGTCCCTACGACAGGTAGTTGGATATAGCGATACGGCAATGCCTTTCTTGCTTATGAACTTGTCGGGCCGAAGTTGCTGCAGGTACCAGCGATGCAGGCCGCTCGCGTCGACACTGTCGCGTGCTAGTGGCGGAGTTTGATTTATGGTTGCCCGGTTTTGCAAGGCTGCGGCCTTCCTTGTTGCCCCTCCAGCCGCAGACTGTTCAGGGCCGCAAGTTCAGCACGACAAGGCCAGGAGTAGTTCGAAGTTGGGCAGCATGTGCGAGAGTGGGCAGATGCGGGGAGCTCGTCCCTCACCTCCATACTCAAGCTTCGGTCTCTCCAACCTCTATGGGCCTCTGGTACTTCACTCCTGGTGGCCATCGTCGGTGTTGACGGGAGAATGTGGACGGGGAGGAGGGGAGGCGGAGAGGGAGGCAGGAGCAGCTGGAGGCGGAAGGGAGCAGAATCAGAAGCAGGAAGAGGAAGACGCATGAAGAGCACCTCTTGGCCGAGCGGGGCAAACAAGCTGCCGCAGCGGCGTTTCCATCGCGAGGTCCGGTGGCTCCTTCTGGGGATTACAGTCGGGGCGCTGAGGAAGGAACCCTTTTCGTTGGGGAGGGGCTCGGTGTTCCTTATTTGTTTGACAGTCTGCCTTTTGTTTTCCTTAGGTTTTCCATGGGAAGTCGAAGTTTAACATATGGGAGAGAGAGGCCTTGTTCCTTACTTAGGGTTCCTTAGGTCAACGCCCCGACTGTACGGGCGCCCCTCCCCACGGACCTCCAGCGTCCACCCGCGCTGGGGTCTCTGCGCTGGGCCGGTCCACCCGCCAAGGCCCTGGGCGAGGTGGCCTGGGCCCCCTTGGCATCGTTCGGACGTGTGCATTTTTTCCTCGGTGGGGACCATCGAGGATCATCCTTGATCATTTGGCGAAAAACCCACGCACGAAACCGAAAAAAACACAGGGAATGGACGTCCGAGCGATGGCGAGGGGCTGACTTCAAGAGTCGGGTACGGCCAAGACGCTGAAGCAAGGAACGCCTCAGGTGCGGAAGGGGCTCGCTGTGCCTCCAGCCCTCCCATGGCTCCATCACCCCCCGTGCACCCAGGCGCCTCTGGGGCCAAGAGGGGGCTTCGTTCCTTATCTGGCGTTCCTGCTGATGGTACCTCGACGGTAACAGAAGCAAGTCGCAAACGTACAATTCAGACAGTTCGGGCGGCTGTCGCGAGGCAGCGCGGAGACGCGCTCTCGATGCCTCCTGGGCAGCGTCTGCGGCGCCGCCCCGGGCGCGCGCCGCGCGCGCCGCGCGCGCGGGGGAGCTGGTGCGGGGCGGGGCGTCCAGGGCCGCCTCCCAAGAGATCCGCGCGGATCTGCACAAGTGTGTGTGCCTATGCCTTGGTATCGCTCGGACGTGTGCACCTTTTTTCTCGGCGGGGAGTACGAAAGAGCATCCTGGACCATCCTGCGACGAAACCACGCACGAGACCGGAAAGGACACAGGGAGTGTACGTCCGAGCGACGGGGAGATACAGCCGTTGTGTCATACACTATTTTGGGCGTCCCTCTTCAAGTCGTTCGAGGCCAGCAGTACAAGCAGGGCTTATCTTGGTCATGGATTGGAGGTCGTGCTCTCCAGGTCCGAGGCTGGATTGATGCCCAGGTTCGCCACCATCCCAGGAGGGAGCTCGTCTGGGCCAGCATCTGGAGAAGGCCGCTCGAGCTGCGAAGAGCAGCCTACGGCGACTTGCCCACGCTGCCTCTCTTCGTCTGGGCCCCAGCCCCAGCCTGCAGCGAGTGGCCCCGACTCCAGATCCGCCGTGCCCTGGTTGATTTCCCAAGCAGTACTTGCACTCAGGGGTTTTAGTCTCTCTTCTCTAAGGAACTGGGCCGGCGTGGCGCTCTGGCAGCTATGCTGACGCCGTCGCCGCCCCAGCGCCGCCTCGTCGCCTCCCGTCGTCTGGGCCGGCGTGGCGGCCTGGCGGCTATGTCTCCGCCGTCGCCGCCCCGTCGCCGCCTCGTCGCCGCCCGTCGTTTGGGCCTGCGTGGCGGGCTGGCGGCTACGCTGCTACCGTCGCCTACCCGTCGCCGCCTCGTCACCGCTCTAGATTCTCCTCTCCAGAATGGTATTAGGATCTACCTCCCCGGGGGTAATGGGCCACGCTTTCGAATCCATGCCATCCCAAGCAGGTCGGTACTGGTTCCCCCCCCCTCATCTTCGCAACAGATATTAAGCGCACGCTCACTGATTAAACATCGTCCGTGTTTAAGAATCTGTCGCAACAAACGAGACGAAGTGCACACGCGCGCGTCGTCGCGCGCGCATGCCGAAATCTTCAAAAAGCCTTAGGTGTCATACGGATGCACGGAAACATGTATTAGAACACATGGTTTCGCCGCGCGATGTTTTACAAAAGCCTGCGCCCGCGCGCTTGCGATTTCTTAGGGAAGCCCAGGGCTTCTCACCGCGCCCACCATCTGCCACCAAATGTGCCTTTCGCGCGCATGTCGAAGTCGCTCGAACGCCCTTGCGTGCGTGCTTTCGCAATGATCCCTTGCAACACATGGGACGGAGTGCACGCGCGCGCGTCGTCGCGCGCGCATGCCGAAATCCTTCAAAGCCTTAGGCTTCGTAAGGATGTCAACAACGAATGCCCCGAAAACATTTCAAGACGCATGGCTTCGCAACATCAGTGATCAAACAAAGCCTGCGCTCACGGCCTTGCGGATTCTAAAGATGAGCATCGGTTTTCAACATGTTCATCAAATTCTGCCCAACGGGCCTCTCGCGCCGCATGTCGAACTCATTCGAACGCCTTGCGCGAGTGCTTTGGGGGGGGGGCACGATCCGTGTCAAATAAGACCACGCGGGTCACCGTCGCGCGTCGGCCGCGCGCGCATGTCGAACTCCTTCCAAAACCTTCATAACCCACGCGAGGATGCCGTCATTGTCGTCGGCGTGATCAGCATCGGTACCGTAATTTGCCGTGCCGTCGTCGTCGTCATCATCGTCACCAGCATCGCTATTACCATCACCGCGTCTACTGTTGTCGACGCTGCCATGATACCGCGCCCGCCCTGGTCGCCGACTCGCACCCCGCTGGGAAGTGCCCAGCGGTCAGCGCCACCGCGGCCGCGTCGGTCGCGCCAAATTAGCTGGCCGCTTCGCGCGCGAGCATGCGCGCGTTAGCGCGGCCGCAAAGATGCACCCGCCAACGCCAAGCACTCATCGCAGTCGCCGCCGCATGAGTTGTGCAAACTAAGTGGTGGGTGGGTGGGTGAGATGGTTGCGCAAGCACTGGAGTTGACAATGCACTGCGAATACAAATTAATTGCACCACATTGATTGCACCACGTGGATTGCACAACGTAGGTTGTACCAAATAGATTGCACAACATTTATTGCTAGATAGAACACATTGTTTGGGGCCCACGTTGTTTTGCATTTTCCGATTTGCGTATGTGTCGGAAATGCACCCCACACGATGCGAAACATTGGGCGGACCCCCCCGCCTCAGAAAACTATGGCGGACATTTCCGCACATGCACTGCGGAAGCAGCGACGGCGAGAAGTATGGCTGGCGGGAATCGGCACCAAAAGAAGCCTGAAACAAGTAAAGGGCGGAACTTCCCGCCCTGTCTGCGACCCCGCTCAAAGTGAGGCGGATCCAGCGCCAAGGCAGGGGGCCGATCAAGCTGCGAGGAGCAGCCCCCTGCGATCTGCTCTGGCCCTCGGAGGAGGAGGGAGGAGGAGGAGGAGGAGGAGGAGAAGGAGGAGGAGGAGGAGGAGGAGGAGGAGGGGGAGGAGGAGGAGGAGGTGGAGGAGGAGGAGGAGGAGGAGGGAGGGAGGAGGAGGAGGAGGAGGAGGAGGGGGGCCCTCGCTGCCTGGGGCCCGGCCCCGGCGCGCAGCGGGCGGAAGCTCCGCCGAGGAGCGGCGTCCTCTCCACGCGCCACTTCAAGACGGCCGTGTGGCTCGGGCCGCCCAGGACGGTGCTCTGGGAGCGCGGCGCCGACAGGACGGCGCTCGGGGCGCCCACATGCGGCAGTGGGGCCCTCTCGTCCGGGAGCACGTAGGCCCCGTGCGGCAGCACAGCCCGGCGGCCGCTCTTCCCCGGCCCTCTGGGAGGCTTCTCTCGGGCCCGACGTAAGGGGGGGGGGGGGATTGGGAAAGGGTGGCTTACGAAATCTGCCGCGTGCAGCTGGTTTCGGCCTCACCGAGGGGCCCATACCTCGACACGCGTAGCTCCATCCGGCGCCGGGAGGCGCCAGGAAAGTCAGCTATACGTGAGCTGAGTCCCCCCTTTGCTGTCCCCCCCCTTTTCGCCCGACCCCATTCTCGCCGCCACGGCGGGAGCCGCGTCGAGAAGCCGGGTCCGGATGCGCCCCTGGAGAGAGGTCGGGGGGCCGGTCTCGAGCGGGTGCTGCTCGAGGTGCCCGTTGGCCCAAGGTGCCTCCAGCTGTTCGCTCCAGTCTGGGCCCCTGGGGCCCTCGGGGCCTCGTGATGGGGTAGCCTGGAGGCCGTCGGGGCCACCCCGAGAACCCTGGGGGTACCCTGGGCCAGGGGCACTTCCAGCAACACCCGATCCTGAGCGGGCTTGGGCCGGGCGGGAGCGCCACCGTTGTCTCCACGTGGCCTCCAGTGGCAGGGGGGGGTAAAGGCAGGTTGAAGGAGCAAACGTTGCAACAACAGCGCCCGAGCGAGAACGAACCACATTCCCCCCCTTGGCCAGCCCCCACCTCCTGGCCTTAACGCTGGAAGGGATTTTGTTCGAGATGTTGGGCTCAAGATGCTTCTGGCCCAGCTGCTCTGGGAACGCATGTTCACTACCCACTCTGCAGGTGATAAGGAGGTTCGGGGGGGAGGAACCCGTCTCACTCAATCGATCTCACTTTCGGTCTCCATATCGATATCACTATCGATTTTACTAGCGATCTCATTATCGATCTCGCTATCGGTCTCACTATCGATCTCACTATCAACATTACTAGCGATGTCATGATCGGTTTCACTATCGATACCACTATCGATCTCATGTTCGATCTCACCGACGGGACACCGACGGGACATCACTATCGATATCATTATCCATCTCATTCGATGGATCCCACTATGGATCATAGCATCGATCTCATAATCGATCCCACTATCGATAACGCTATCGATCTGACTATCGATTTCACTATCGATCTCATGATTGATATCATGTGATCGATCTATCTTTCAATGTCACTATCGATCTCACTATCGGTCTCACTATCGATCTGATTTCACTAGGGGGCACCGACGGAACACCGACGAGACATCACTATCGATCTCATTATCGATCTCTCTCGATCGATCTCACTCGATCGATTCAGTTATTGATCTCACAGTCGAGCTCACTACCCCTCTCAAGATCGATATATTTATCGACCTCACTATCGATCTCACCATCGATCTCACTATCCGTCTCATTATCGATCCCACTATCGATCCCACGATCGATCCCATAGTCGGTCCCGCTATCGATCTCACGATCGACCTCCTTACGGGACACCGGCGGGACACCCCCCCGGCCACCGCCCGACAACCCAGGGTGGGGCGTTTCTCTGGCCCGGCGGCGCCCTGGCCAGAGGAGGGTTCATTCCTCTCCTCCCGCCCACTCAGCTTCGCCTCGCCAAGGTGACAGTGGTAAACCCCTCTTCGAAGGGAAAGCATGGGTGGTTGGAAGAGGAAGCGCCCTGAGCCACTCGCGCCCCACAGGGGCTGGTGCGGTCGGAGATGTCGCGGTCGGCGTTTCGGGGGAGCGCGCCGCGGACGCCCAGGTTTTGGGGGCCCCAGAGGGGGCCCCAAACCCTCGTGTTCCCCAGGAGGAGGAGGAGGAGGAGGAGGAGGAGGAGGAGGAGGAGGAGGAGGAGGAGGAGAGGAGGATGAGGAGGAGCAGGGGGAGGAGGAGGAAGGAGGAGGAGGGAGGAGGAGGGGGAGGAGGAGCAGGGGGAGGAGGAGGAGGAGCAGGGGAGGAGGAGAGGAGGAGGGAGGAGGAGGAGGAGGAGGAGGAGGCCGCTCCTGCCCTTTCGGACAGCACCGACATCGTCGGGGGCGGAAAAGAGGGGGGGGGATGACTAGGGGGGGGGGGGACTATCATGGCGTGGGCATGATCTTTCCCCAGATCTCAGGGCGCCTCTTCTTATGTCATTACGTCCCTGGCCCCCCCGCTGGGCCGCGCACATGCCGCCGGTCATGATTTGCACCCCCCCCTCCTGGACACCCCCCTCTTGGCCGCTCCCGACATCGAGAGTTCACGCCCGTGCGCATACGCACTGTTCATTTCTTATTCTTCGAGAGGTCTTTGGTTTTTCGGGTGGCCGCGCTCCTTTCATTTCTGCTTGTTCTATCCTGGGCGTCTCCCCGACCACAATTGGGGGCCAGGAAGAATCAGAAGCGAGCCCAATTGGAAATTGAGCACGATTGGAAATGAGCGACGTGTCTGCGTTGCCTGCGTGCGCCCGAGGACGTCTGACGCCTGCAGGGAGGTGCCGCAGCTGTTCCGGGCGCTGACGGAGAGCTACGGCGTCTCCCCAGACGCGCGGCACCCAGAGGGGCCTCTCGTCGACGTCCAGGGGGGGCGGAGGCCGCCAGGGGTTCCCCCACGTGGAGTCACCCCTTCTCGTCCTCCTCCTCCTCCTCTTTCTTCTGCCTCCTCCTCCTCCTCCTCCTCCTCCTCCTCCTCCTCCTCCTCCCCCTCCTCCTTCTTCCACTCCTCCTCCTCCCTTCATCGCTCCTCGCTCGCTCCTCCTGCCCTTCCACTGCCACCATCCTCCTCTCTCCCTCCAAGCCTTTTGCACTCCGTTCCCCCCATCCCTCACTCCCTCCTGTCGCTGCCCCTGTCTGCTGTTTGGCTGGTCTCTGCTCATGCCGCCCCGGCTCCCCGCACGCCGCTTGAGCAGGAGCACCAGAGGAGGGGTTTGCCATGGGGATCCTTTGTCTCGCCGTTGTCGGACTCAGGGGAAGATGCCTCGTCAAACGAAGCGCCGGTGTAGGTGGGGGTCATTGGCGGTCCGCGGGGAGGCAGACCGCACGGATGGCCCACGGGCAAAGGCGAGGTGGACCTACCTCTCGACCTCGGGTGGAGGTCTGGCATAGCTCCACAAACCTCGCAGAAGGCCCGCGTAGCGCCAGTGACTGTCTCGATCCGACCCCCCAGGGGAGGGGGCGTCGCGGGCGGCGGCGGCATCTTGCATGCTTCATCTGGCGGGGAGAAGCTCCATAGGGTGGAGCAGAGACATACAGCAGAGGTTTGCGGCGGATCGGGAGGGGGGTGCATCGAGGGGCGACGCGGAGGGGGTGGTCAGTCGCTAGGCCCCCGTGCGGCGGGTGCCTGCTTGAAACAACTGGCAGGCGACGGCGAGACAGCACGTGCGGCTGCCGAGCACTGCGTGTTGCGCACCGCTTTGCGGGTGACCACGGCCAGATACATCCCCCCAATTCGAAGAAGAATCGGGGGTGGACAGAACCCCCACCCTGACACGTCGATTGGTGAATTGAGAGGGCGCCGCGGCCGTCATTTTCCAGGCTTGCGCCCGCCAGGTTTGGGCCCTAGGTCGCTTTCACTAAACCACGTTTTGCTAAAGGGGGTTCCTGTCCATCCCCGAAAGAAGCAACTGCGCACACATATACTTTCGAAGGTGCGCGCGGATTTCGTGGATCTGCGCTGGGCCACCCTGGTGGCGCCTCTGGCGCCGCCCCTGGCGCGCTCCGCGCGCCAGGGAGGTGGGTCCAGCGCCGATCCAAGAAGTCCGCGCGCAGCTACAACAGTTTAGTTTTATGGTGTTTCTTCTTCTTCTACAACCCCCTTCTTTCGGCGGGGGCCTCCAGTGCTTCCCGGAAAGCCTCCCAGGGGCCTCAAGCGTAGCGGGACTGCCCCCGGGTCTATACTCCTTGAGATCCGACGTTGCAGAAACAAACAACATCGCGATAAATCACGACCAGAGCCCCAGACATTATCTTTCTGCTGCATTTTTCGAGCCAGATCAATCTGTGACGGTCCTTGGGTCCGAAACTTGGCGAAAACGCCCGGTGTGAAAAATCGCAACGCCCGGATCTCAGGTATTTTGCCCGTTTGCGCCGCTACCGGGCCGCTCCTTCCAGGAACCCTTCCTGCTTCGAAGAGCCTTCATGCGCCTCCAGCTTGCGCTGCCCACTCCCGCCGCCAGCGTGTGGCGGCCAGGAGGAGGATGAGGAGGAGGAGGAGGAGGAGGAGGAGGAGGAGGAGGAGGAGGAGGAGGTTCGCTCCACTGAGGACTTTGTAGATTCCTGTTTCGCACGCCTCTGGGCCCTCCCAGGGGCGCTCGGGCAGGTTTCTCTTGGCATCTGGGGGGTGCCCCTCGTCTCCTTCACTGATTGGCGCGCCTCGGGAAGCTCGCAGGAACGGTGCACGACAGGAATCCGTGGGAGCGTGGTCGCATGTTGGCCGGGAGGAGGCGGTACGTTTTCGCATGAGCAGGCGAGTATTGACATTGATTGCGCCGGGCGGCCGTTGCACCTGGCATCGCTCGACGTGTGCATTTTTTTTCTCGGCGAGGGCCCTGGAGGAACATCCTGGATCATCAAGCAAACAAAGACACGCACGAAACCGACAAATGCACGGGGGAATGGACGTCCGAGCGATGGCAAGGAGGAGGAGGAGGAGGAGGAGGAGGAGGAGGAGGAGGAGGGAGGAGGGGGAGGAGGAGGAGCAGGAGGAGGAGGGGGAGGAGGAGGAGGAGGAGGAGGAGGAGGAGGAGGAGGAGGAGGAGGACCTCCCCGGCCGGGAGGAGGCGGCACGTTTTCGCATGAGCAGGCGAGTATCTACATTGACTGCGCCGGGCGGCCGGCGCAGGGGGCGTGCCGATTTCACGAGGAAGCGGGGCAGGCGCGCGGCCTCCTGGCCATCAGTGCAAATTTTGGGGTTCGAGGGTGGACAAAGAGAAGCGCATACGGTGGGGGCGCGCATCTCAAGAAACCGGATGTCTCTGGTCAGGGTTCCTTTGGTTTCTTCGCGCCGCGTGTCGCGCGATGAGTTCTCGCGGTTGTCAAGAAATTCTCGTGCCCAGGATTCCCTGGGTTTCTCCCCAGTTGCACTTCGGGCAATCAAGCGGCCCGCTACCGAAGAACCCCCCAGGCGCCAAAGGCTCCTCGAGTTTCTTGCATCCTTGCGACAACAGCACTCCCCGCGCACGCGGGCGAGCTCGCGTGCGCCCTGGCCTGCTAAGGTTTGCATTGTCAGCATTTGCTGTGTATTGCCCAGAATACAAAAATCGCTATGTTGGCCTGGAAACTAGAGTCAACCCGTAACCGTGACCGATTGGATTTTGAAGTTAACATGGGCCCTTGTGAATGATTTCTATAGTGGGCAATGCAGCACTCCCCGCACACGCGGGCGCGCGCGCGTACGCGCGCGTATGCGCGCGTACTCGCCGTGTGCCTTGGCCTGATAAGGCTTGCATTGTCAGAACAGGTTGTCTACTGTCCAGAATAGAAAAGTCGCCATGTTGGCCTGGACACGAAAGTCCATCCTGAACGGTGCCCTTGTGGATTTTGAAATTAACATGGGTTTCTGCGAACGTCATCTGTTGTGGACAATACAGCACTCCCCGCGCACACAGCGCGCGCGCGTACGCGCGCGTATGCGCGCGTACGCGCCGTGCGCCCTAGCCTGCTAAGGCTTGCATTGCCAGCGAAAGTAGGTTCTGTATTTTCCAGAATACAAAAAGTCGCCATGTTCGCTTGGAAACTAACGCCAACCCTCAACGTTGAAGAATTGGATTTCGAAGTTAGCATGGGCTCTAATGAGTGTTCTCTATTGTGGGCAATGCAGCACTCCCCGCGCACGTGGGCGCGCGCGCGCGTACGCGCGCGTATGCGAGCGTACGCGCCGTGTGCCATGGGCGGATAAGGTTTGCATTGTCAGCATTAAATATTGTATTGTCCAGGATACAAAAGTCGCCATGTTGGCCTGGACACTAAAGTCAACCCTTCATGGAGACCGATTGGACTTTGAAGTTAACATGGGCTCTTGTGAATTTGATTGTGGTCAATGCAGCACTCCCCGCACACGCGGGCCCTTGCCTGCCGAGGTTTGCATTGTCAGCATACATAGGTTCTGTACTGGGCGCGGCCATTGGGCCTTGC